CCAGGCCGCTCCACGTGCTCCTGCCGTCGCGGGGACGCCGCACGCAGCTGGCGGGAGATTCCCGGAGCGGGGAGTCCCGGGATCTGACCACTGCGTCGGCGCAGATTGCACCGGGCGGGAGCCGACAACCGACCGGTGCACGGGGTTAGAGCGGCGCTGGCTGGCGGTGGATTTAAAGGACGCTCGCCGCTCACTGCTGAGCGGAGGTTCCGCGCCTCCAGCCCACTTTTGAAACTCAAAGGCGAGAGAACCCCAAGAGAATGGAAATGGCGTGGCGTCAGTATATTGTCTCACAAAGCCTACTTGGGAAGAATAATAGAAAAAAAAGTAATATCCCGTGGGGACAGCACAGGGTGGGGGTAGGCGGTGTCTGGACCACTTTCTAGCAAGCTTAAATTCAAAGGGGTTTGTCTTAAATAGAGTAAGATCTGGAAATTTTATGAATCTTTGTCCAGATTTAGGGATAATAGCCATTAATACAACTCATGTCGTTCCAGTAATATTTCTGGTTTTTGTTTCTCTCAGTTTTTTATTTCACATGACAAGAGTTCTTGTCCAACTTTTCAGAAAATGCTAAGACAGTTTAAAGGATTTTGGCAACTCAACTTTTTAATTTTAGGAAGCAGCTGGCTCACTTATTTTCTCTTCTGGGAACTACTTTATTGATCACCACTTACAAAATACTCCTCATTCTATTTATGTGTCCCTGACTCTTCCAAATAACACCCGAGACAGCTTACAGAAATGCATACGCTAGATCAGGAACGTAAGTAAAGAAAAGGCGAGCAAGGGGTTGGGCCTCCCCTCTCTCCACCGTAAGATAGTAAAAATAACTCAAGATCTTAGCATATAGAGAAGTAGCAGACAACATCTTTTCCCAACATCCTCTCCATTTTCTAGGGGTAAAGCATACATCTAACTGCACAGAGGGCAAAGGGGAAATGACCACATAACAGTTTTTCAAAAGTAGAACATTTCTTCACATGAGGCCTAAGGGTCATTGCTGCAGTGATAAGGATAGCGTATGTGTTAGAGTGGATAGCATAAGAATGATTAAAAGATCACTGCCACTATTGTTAGAAAATGTGCATGTATTTGAGACTTATGGATGGGATTTTGTGCATCAACAGATCACATCAAAGGAAAGCAGCACCTAAAAGTGCCTGTTGTAATTTGTGAATTTTAGTTTAAATATTTTAAAATTTTAAAAAGTTTTAAAAATAGGCTTGTTTTAAGATTACAGTGACATAACAGCATCCCCATAGTTTGTTTGGGTTGGAGTTCTACAGGGCAATGCCAATTTCAGAGAGATGCTCTAAATACTGGATCTAATTTTAGTTCTGAAAGGGGAAATTTGTTGTTTGCTAGTTTCTAAAGGCAAAAATAGCACATAAAAATAGTAGAAGAGGAACTGTAAAAAATTCATAGGGATGATGTAGTTGTAAGAACTTTTATTATTGTCCATCAGTGTTATTTATAAATATATTTAAATAATAGTGAAATATGTTTCTACTCCTTATTCAGTGTTGAGGATATCATGCTTTAAAGAATGATATGTAAGTATATCAATTTCACTCACTCATTGCCATGGAGTTGTAACTGATTAATAGTTGATCCTCTCATGGGCTTCCAAGGCTATAAATTGCACAAGAGGAGTTGCTGGTGGGTTCCAATTAGCATCATAATTCCCTATGAACTAGGCCACCAGAGCTCCCAAGAGTAGACAAGTAAGATAATTTCTGTAACTACTCTAACCTCAAAGGAGTCTAGTAATTCCGTACTCCTTAGGTCAAATCAGAGAACTCCCCTAGCAAGGAGACGCTGCGTTATAGTGACTTCCTTCTAAAAAGCAAAGCATGACATGGCAAGGGGCTGAGGAGGGGGAGTATCTTTACACCAGAAAACCTGACCTCAGTCATGGATCAATGTTAACATCAACAGTGTGTCATGTTAATAGTAAATACTCTATACATGATGTGATGCAAATGCCATTTTGCCTCAGTAGTCTTTCTTTCAGAAAATGCACACTAAAATCCACTGCTGCCAAGTCAATTCCAACTTATAGTGATGATAGAGAATACAGCAGAACTGCTTCATAAGGTTTCCAGGGTTATAAATCTTCACAGAAGCTGACTGCTTCACCTTTCTCCAAAGAGGAGCTCATGGGTTCGAATTACTAACTTGGTTAGGAGGTGTCACTATCACAGTTCCTAAAACAATGGTAACCTGTCTAGTTAGGAAGCGGAGTGGAATCACACAAACTCCAATATAAAGATATTCTACAAAATGCCTGACCAGTAGTGCTTAAAATGGTCCAGGTCATAAGATGTAAGAAAAGTCTAATTATCACAATCAACTGGAGTCTAGGAGATGTGGTGACTAAATGTAATGTGGTAGAACATGAAAAAGGACATTACATAAAAACCAAGGAAATCTGAATAAAGTATGAACTTTAGTTAATACTATTCTACCAATATTGGTTAATTTGAAAGATATATCTTACTAATATAAAATCTGTAGGGAATACTGGGTGTAGAGTTTATGAGAACTCCGTACTCTGCTCTTTTTCTGTAAGACTAAAACTGTTCTAAAATAAAAAGCATTATTTTAAAAAAGTGAATGAGTAACACAGGATATCTACTTTTAACAGAAGCAGGAGTGGCATCCACTTCCTAAACAACATGCCTCTGGAAAGTCTATGAACTTTGAGAAACCATAGTTATCGAAAGGCTTCAGGTCTTTTGTTCATAGGGTCACTATGAGTCATGCTCGACTCTAAAGCAATCAACAACAACAACTATTAATTTGGGTAAGCCTCTTTTCACAGGATTTACATGGGTTAATTAAATAATGAAAAAACTAATGAAATACATTGTGTACTTACAATGTCTTTGAATAAAATTGGAATGACAAGTTTCTTGTCTTTTTAAAGGAAGCTATTGCCTGCATTTATCTTCATAACCATCACTTCGAGAACTTCAGTTGAAACTAAACCGTGAATCTAGACACGGGTAACCCACAATGGATGGATCTGACTCACTGGATCACATTTCAGTGCTTCTACCAGATAGCTAAAATTAACAATGACTAAAAATGAAATCACTGACAAAGGCTGCTCCTGGACCATCTCAGATAGTCCTAGTACTGACTTGGCTCAAAGGAAATAAAACTGAAAACCCTTGATCTCACCCAAAATAGTCATTCTGGTTTAGGCCTGTCTGAACTTTAGGCTCTCTGCTTACCATCATACTCAAAATGATGACTTGAGGGTGTCCCTTTGCTAAGAACTAGATAGCTAACTGGGACTATCAGGCCACAGAACTAGTCACCAAGAAGGAATGCTAAAAATGTGTCTTGATCTTAGCTAACCATCCAAACTTTCAGGACAAGCCCATCTAGTCTGACCTTTCATTTGGGCCCATCTTTTAAAGCAAGCTTACTTCACAGCGCTAGATAACTCTGTGTGTATGTGGGGGTTTCTCTCAACATCAACTTTTTTTTAAAATTATACTAGTTTATTTACAAAATTGGAATACATTGTTTTTCACACCAGATTCTCCCAATTTCCCTCAACCTTCCCAACAATGGCTCATTTTTGAAGTTGGAAATGAAAATTAATGTTTCTTTTGGGTAAAAGGACCTGTAGACATGCCATGTAAGTGCTAGTGGCTCTTCAGATTCTTGACTTTATGGGTAAAATTATCAGATGACAACTGAGTAGAAGAGGTTTTCCTCATTTTGGGTTTCTTTTCCAAAAGTACAGCTCACTATTGGGCTAAGTAAGTGGCAGCACCATGATAGCTGAAAAAGAGATTGAGATTGTTAATAATTTCAGTTTGTTTGGTTGGAACCAGCAGTCAAGAAATCAAGACTAATTGGATTAGCAAAGTCTGCAGTCAGGGACCTCTCCAGAGTGAAGTGTAAAGATGTTAAGACTAGAGACTAAGGTACGCCTGATCCAGGCCATAGTCTTCTCATTTAGGCCTGACAGAAGAAGAATTGATGCCTTTCAGTTGTGGAGAGTATTAACTCTTGGGCTGCGAAGAGAACAAATAGGTCTGTCTTGGAGAGGTGAAACCAAGTTGGTCTCTAGAGGCCAGAATTTTGACTCTCCATCTCACATACTTTAGGCACATGGCCAGGAGGGCCTAGTCCTTGGAAAAGGACATCATGCTTGGAAGGGTGCAGGGACAGTGCAGGAGAAGAGCCCAGATGAGATGGAATGACACAGTGACTGGGGTAATGGGAGTGTCAGAGTCAGTGAGACTGACTCAGGACAGGGCAGGTTTTAGAACTTTCGTACTTAGGGTCATTATGATTTGCAGGGGACTCGACCGCACGTAACAACAGATTAGAAAGTAACATCCTGAAGGGATGAACCTCCCTCCTTGGAAGGAAATATGGAGAGACCTAAAGTTACAATTTTAAGAATATCAAGCACAGTTTCACGGTACAAAAGAAGAGAAATCTCCATGGGAGGCTGTTTCAATTTGAGGAAAATCTCACAAGTTTCTCTGCTCAGGCGTAAATGAACGACCCCACCTCACCCTACCTGGGACTCACGGAATTCCTCTTGTGGATGTCTATAGCCTCTAGACTAAAGAATTGTCTGGATCTCAAAGCCTTCCTTGGGTTATCTTGTTTTACTATTTTTGTCCCTCAGAAAACTTAGAACGCGCTCACGAAAGACCTCCAGCACAAGAAAACACCGCTAGATAGAGCACAGCATACGAAAGCACAAAGGTGGCCATACGCACGTGGGTGGGCGGGGCTCTCGCTTCAGGCACATTCCGCATTGGCTCGAACCCCGCCAAGCCCCGCCCTGCGCGGGAGGCCTCCTCACTGGGCCGCAACACGCATGAGCTCTCTGGCACACCCGTTAACGTTCAGTACTGGAGCGATGGGTGGGTAGGGGAGCTCTGTACCGGAGAAATGGGGGGGCGCTGACCTGGGGCTCAGGTACAAAGGTGCCCACCCCTCGACGCCTCCTCTAAGCCGTGATGCGACCGTGGGCCTTCCTCTCCGCTGTGCTGTACTACCTTAGCGCAGGTGGGGTTCCTCCCTGACCCTCAAGCCTCTCCTCTCTTCCCGAGATGATAATTCCTTGTCCTCCTTCCTGTGCTTAGTCCCTCCCTGCCTGACTCTGAGCCCTGGCTCTTCTTCTACCTAAAAAGTCAGTAATTTTTTTTCCCCCTCTGCAGTTGTGTGGCCCCGTTCTACCTTGTACAGTAAGAGAGGCTTCATTTATGGCAGACAAGGAGACTCAGGTAATAAAGAAGAGCCTATTGGAAGAATAAGGGTGCTTTGGATCTGCTGAAAGAAAAGGAGCGAACATTTTTCTGAACACCTGCTGTGACCCCTGCTGTTAACGAAGGTTGCTTTGTACATCCTTACAGCTACCCTAGGTGTATCACGTGTCCAAAACTGCACAGCTCATTAGGAGCTAGGGTTCGTTCCACATCTCTTTTTCTCTGGTGCCACCTCACTTTCAAGTTTCTTTGCTGCTGTGCAACTCTCAGAGGAGTGATCTTGCATCTCCTTATTAGCTGGAATCACGTATCCTTTAAGGGTCAGCTCAAATACCATTTATGACTCCAGAGAAACTTTTCCCACACTCCCCAAGGAAATCTAGTCACTGATCTGTACTTCTAGAAAACTTCGAGCCTATTTAGAGCATTTGTTATAATTGAGATCCCTCCATGCGTCTCATTGCCCCAGTAGATTGTAGCCTGGCATTCAGAGGCTATAAAATGATGTACGGCAGTTGTTCAAGCATACTGCAGTTGCTTCCACCAAATCCAAAACAGAATCAATAATTGCAGAAAATTACTGTTGTTGTTGTTGTTGTTGTTGTTGTTGTTGTTGTTATGTGCCGTCGAGTCGTTTCTGACTCATAGCGACCCTATGCACAACAGCCCTAAACCCTGATCTATCCTGCGCCAACCGCACCGCCTCTGACACACCCATCCCGATTACCCCAGTCACCGAATCAATCAATCTCATAGAG